CACGAAGATTAAAGAATTGATTTTTCTAACATACAGATTTTATTGTATTATTAGTAGGGAAATGCAATGTAAAATGATGTTTGATGATTATAAATGTGACTGTTGTTTTTTTTTTTTACTTTATTACAGTCTGTTACAGAACCAAACTTACAGCTCTTTTTGTACTTTTCAATGTTATAATCTAAAAGCAATTCTTTTTTTCTGTTGAAATTAGAATTCTGGTTATTGATAAAAAATATTTCAGTTTAAGAGTCAACTGGTTCTCTTCTTCTTGGGGAAAAAGAGTTCCTATTGTGTTTTTGAGATCTTTCAGAAGAAATTTGCCACCTCAAAAATCAAGGGCTTCCCTGAAGACAGCAGACGGCAAGCAGCAGACAGTGCACTCCCCTCAAGCTGGCGAATAGGACCGATTTTCCCCGTCTGCTCTCTAGTTTGAATTATCAATAAAACGGCTTGGCTTACCTGTGAAAATAACCTTGTTGACAGCACCAATATGGACTGAACCATGCCACCTCCACGTTTAAGATTTAGGAAGCCCCCAGGAAATGTCAGGGGTGTCAGTGTGTTTGCCGTGATAGTTGGTCATTATTAGTGTTTAACTGCAATTCCCCACCAGCGCCACGCGGCTAGCACCACCATAAATTTTAATGTGATCATGTGCTCTTCTCTTTTCATATTCAGTGAATTCTGCAAGATCATAATATTCTGTATGAACCCTCGCTGAACCTCAGTGTAATGGGATGAAAGAACAAGATTTCTAGCAGTGATAGTTGTTCATCATTTTATAGGTGTTTTTTTGGGGGGGGGGGGGCGGAAAACTGGACACTGAACAACACGGTTCCTTGAATAATATTACCACAAACTAAGTCCACGCATTCAATGCATCTTTGTTGAGTCCTCCAGGATGCAGGGCACGGCCCAAAGTGCTAATGACTACATTTATGGGATAGTAAAGAACACTGACTCTTAAGGAAACCTCCCCGCCCCCGACTCTGGAAAACCTGTCAACACTCGTACATCATTTATAAAACCAAAAACTGTCTCTGCAACCTTGGCTCCACTGCATGCCTGCTATTTTGCAAAGTCCAAACAAAAGCATGGCTGTTTCCTTTATCTGGTCTCCACTGTGACTATAAGAAGTGTGTTTGTCACCTTTCATTATGCATGTGCTCGATGGAATCTCTATTCTACATGCCTCTATACATAGAGAATTTGTATAATTATTCTTCACCTGCAGGTTTTTATTCCTAGTCTTAATCATAAATTATGAATGGCACTATATACTCTGTTTATCTGAGGAATTAAAAATATTTGGAAAATTTTCAGCTATTTAAATATCTCTTTAGAAGCAAAGAATAATGCTGAAGCTTTCATTTAAAAAATCTGGAATCCAGAGGCATGGAATAAGTCATTAACAAGGTTTCCGGTGAATTAAATTTCCACCGTTTTATATAAAATTGCCTCTCCCACAAAGAAGTTTGTTCTTTTTTTTTTTTTTTTTTTTAATTTCTAAAGGAACAAAAGTGCTCTGTTACCTAAACATAAGGTGGAACACTTTTGCAGAACATAATTCTCCCAGTCAATAGTTTATTCTCTGTGTTTGAAGTGATTTTGGGGTTAAAGGTTAGGAAACCGGTGCACATATTTATCATTTGCTTGTGCTGTTGTACATAGTGTCATAATTTGCTCAGAAATGACACACAGCTATGAATTTTCCCTTTGCCAGAGACAATGGGCTTAAAAAACACAGCCATGGATGTAAGGTCACAGGGAGAATGCCTTATTATTCCTGCTAACAACTCGGAAAGAAAGGGGGCAGATTTCTTCTGATGGGAGGGGCCCTTTTGTACACCTTGGCTTTGTTGGTGTCTTTTTTAAAACAAAAAAAGGGGTCGGGGTGGAGTGTACCTCGGTGTCTCCTGGACTCTAAGAAGCACTTTCAAGGAAGGTTGGTAAGGTGTGGCGTGCCCCTCCTTCCCCCCACTCCGCACTCCTCCCCCACTTTCCTGCCAACTGGCTGGGAAACTTTGCCTTGGAGCTCCATCTAGAGGAAAATTTAGCTCACATACACCATGTTTCTTGGCTTTGTGACTCAGATGGAATCCAAAACAGTAGTTGGATTTCCCTCCCAGATTAAGAGAGATTTTGGCTCTATCGTAACACATAGATACAGAATAAGATATAACTAGAATGTAAATAGAATCACTTATGAGAACAAAACAGCGAACGACTCTAATATTCTACAGGAGTGTCCTTTCATGGGAAAAAGTAGGTTATCATTTTGCCATAGACCAAGGTCATATTCCAGAAATTAGGATTGATGAATGAATTAAATAAACTTTTTTCTTCAGTGATCAAGTAACATTTGGTAATTCTAGAATGATTTCATCAGTTAAAAATTCTAATGAACTAAATTGTCCATGGTCATGATGGAGAAGATATTGCTTGTGTTAGGAACAAACCAAAGCTGACATTTTCAACCTATTGTTACTCTTAATCAAGTTCAGCAAAATTTAATGAGCAGAAAATAATATTTTTTACAGATGTAGTCACTCCTTTCAATTCCAGGGAGAAAAAAATAATATTGACCAACATGTTCTTTCCAAAGTCATGTTTTTATTTTGTAATACCCATCCCCTCGACCACAAGAGAACTTTAATAGCAAACTCCTTCAGTTTGTCTAGCATTAATACAAAAACAAAACCCAAATCTTCTCAAACAGTGATACTCCTCAAGATTGCTGAGCAGACTTTCAAAAATAACTACCCGTATTTTTCGGCGTATAAGACAACCCCCTAATTTTACAGTTAAAACATAGGTGTAGGCCTATATTCGCTGTATAAGACTACCCCCCACTTCAAAGAAAAGACTTACTTTGCCATCAAGATCTGCAGGTAATTTTTGTGCAATTTTGGTCTTTTGCCCCCGATTTTCGGTTGACTTTTTTTTGTTTCAAAAGTCGTCTCATACGCCAGAAAATACGGTATACCCTTGAAATATTCTGTCAGTGTGAGTACCACCATTGTGGTAACGTAGTTTGAGAGTTCTGCTTTCTCCAATTTCTTGAAAAGGATCAAGATTGTCTATTTTATGGAATATTTACTCGACAATTGGGTATGCATTTCCTTTTACTCCTAAGTGTCACCCTGATCCTACCACTCTTGCCAGCTTCCCCATCCCAACTACTTTAAGGCTTGTCATGAAAGTCTGCTTCTACCTTTGACATCTCTCACTCACAATGTCATAGCCAGCCATTCCTTTCCCTTGCTTGATAAGGTTCCTGTTTCCTTATTTTGAGAATTTGCTATAAATCCATAGGTTCTCCAAAGGAACATGTTAATAATTTATTTATTGAATGTCCTCTCTATGTGCCAGACATATGAATTCTGCACCCAGAAAATTATTCCTTGTCCACTGAGATCTGATATGAAAAAGCAAAGTGAAAGTGGTTATCATTATTATTTTTGAGCGACATTGGCACTTGAGCAATTAAGACTCATAGTTCAAAGCATCTTTCTTCCTCACGTGACAGGCTGACTGCTTTTCATGGTGTAAGTTACAGAGGATGGGACCAGTCCACTTTTTCCAAGCTGGTCTTCTTGTTCCTTACGCAGTTGAGGATCCAAAAACAAGTCCTTGAGTGTACAAGTGAAGACATTTTGGTCCCATCTTCCTGTGCTTTCGGCACATTTGAGGTCGTTAACCCAACATGCATTTCATGGAAACCTACCATGTGCATGACAGAGTGCAAGGTGCTGGTGAGGATCTCAATAAACAGGTGCTGAGCCAATAAGTGAAAGGTATTGAAAGAACAAGAAATTATCTCTTCAGCCTCAAGAAGCCTACTCTGTAGGAGTACAGGAGGCTGTAACTTAAAACACATGGCAGACAGAGCTCAGAGCAGGATTGTTGGCGGATGCTTGGGGAGAAAAGGGAAGATTTCGTGGAGAAAACTGGCATCAGATCAATGCCTCAAAGGATGAGTACAATTTGAATTGGCAGAGAATTTCATGAAGAAACAGAATAATCTTTGCTCATTCGGACTGAAGGGAAATGTATCTCGTTTGGAGTTCCCTGTTTTGGATTTAAGTTTTAATCTGGGTGCAGAGATGTAAGGTATTGAGATTTCTGTTATGTGAATCCAAAACTCATGTTCTCTTTTCGTTTTATATACTAAACATGTTCACACATGCATACACATGTGTATGTATACAAAGGAATGATATATAACACTGAGGCCAAAGAAATCAATAAATTTAAGCCAGGAAACATTTTATTACATGATAGCTTACCAGTCTAAGTTGAAAATCAAGCCAAGACAAGCCTTATTTCTTGCCAGCAAATGGAGATGAATAGAGAATTTTGTTTCAATCTTTGCCACAAACATTTGCTTTTAGATTAAATTCCAGGGCTTACTTCTGGCAAGCTGCCCTAGTTTTCTCCATAAAGAAAGACTGCCCACCATGACTGGGTTACAGCCCTTGGGACAGAGATTTCAAGCCTAGTGCATCCCTACCCCCTGAGAACATCCACTCCCTCTCCTTCCTCCCTGGGCTTCCCTTGGCCTCCCTGGCCATTCTCCCAGATCGGCCTTCTCAGGATTTCCGTGTCCCCATGGGTAATGGCCACACATCCCTACTCTGGCTTTCCACCAGCCAGTCTTATCCAGTAATCTCTTTGTTACTCATCCTTGTATCCTTTGCAAAAAGATTACTTGGTAAATCCAAGCATTTCTTTTGTAAATAGAACCAGATTCCTAAGATAAAACATTGAAAAGCCTCAAGTATTCATTCCAAGACTACGCCTGCTTCAAACGTCAGTGGTGCCACGGTGTAAGAGCTCAGACACTGTCGTGAAACATGCCCTCCCATAAGCAGGCAGATGAACTCCATGCAAAATAAATCGCATGGCAATGTGTCACAGACACGGAAACGTGAAGGAGAAGGCCTGGAGGCCCACACAAATGACAGATGACTTTCACCGTCACTGAACACACTTACGGTCAACATAGCAAACATCAGCTGGCACACGTTGAAGGCGTGTCTCCAGTTGTGGTACAGAACCATTCGGTAATTCTTCCTCACTGTTAAAAGCCACCGGCACAGGGTCTGAAACGGGGAGGGAGAGGTGGTGTCAGGCAGTTGTATGTGTATCTGGCAGACCATTACCAAAACGATGCCTCGGAGTCATCTTGTTCGATTCAGACCCCTCACAAATATCTCATGTAACTTTTTCAGTGATTTTATGAAGTGTACAGGGGAAAGTAGTACCATCCCCAGTTTGCATTTGGGAAACCGGAGGCTCAGAGTGGCTGCCATGGTGTTCCACGTGCCCTCTGGACTCACCCAGGACAGAACGCCTTACCTCATAGTCGATTTTAAATTTCTGAACCATCCCCAGCTCCATGAACATCCGAAGGGCAGCCGTGATCATGGCATCAACGTCGAGAGAAAAGTCATCAAAATGTATGTCATCGATGGCAAGTTCTGATACCAAAGGGATGTTGGCTGCCTACGAAAGCAAGACACATAAGTCAAGGCAAGTTCACCAGCTTTTCCAAGCCCCTCATCTTGCCCTCCTCTCCTGCTTATCTGACAGGCCACATAAATCAGGCCTGACCTGCACTTACACCCTGATGCAGCTAAACTCTGAGCTGGAAATGTCTTTTGTTTCTGAACTGCAAATGCCCCAAGCAAATGAAAGGGGGAGGGTAAAAAAGGAAACTAATCTGAAGAAAAAATATACACGCTGGAGCTCGTCTGCAGAATTTAGAATACAAAGCTGTCTCGTTTGCTGAAACCACAGCCATACAATATATTCTGATGCATATTACAGAGCAGAAAATGCAAGAAACATCTGGGCAGCCAGCAGCTGTGAATTTTAATTGCTGCCATTCAGGAGAAGGACACGGGGATACACTGCGCTGCCTTGTTTTATGTAGCTTTACGTCCTGTAGCTGTGCACGTGCTCTTTGTTACACGCATTGTGTTTATATAAGGATGGAGAGGATCAGAGAGCACCTCTCTGGTGCAGAAAAGTGTTTTCTTAACACAACAAATACTTGCAGGGGTAGTATAGGCATATGCTTCATTGAAAGAATGAATTTGCAAGATTGTTTAGCTTCATTATCTCTAAACCATTTGATAATGTTAACATAATTACAATTGTGATTATACAAAGTCGTCCCTTTGTGTCTAAGGAGAATTTGTCCCAGGAGCCCCATAGATACCAAAGTCCACGGATGCTCAAGTCCCTTATGTAAAATGGCATAGTATTTGCATATAACTTACATACGTCCTCCATATACTTTAAAGCATGTCTAGATGACTTACAATACCTAATACAACGCAAATGGTATGTAAATACTTGTTATGTTGCTTAGGAGAGAATGACAAGAAAAAGCTTTGTACATGTGAAGTTCAGACAAAACCCAAAATCATCCTAGGCCTAACTACAAGTCAGCAACTATATAACATTTTTGTTCCAATAGTTTCCATCTGGCCTTGGTTTAGCCCTCAGATGTGAAACCCCTGGATATGGAGGGCCAGCTGTGTTCATTGTTTTCAAAACACTCATGTTAGGCAGCTGTCATTCAATTGTCCCACACAAATTTAAAGGTGGGGGGAAAAATCTTTCTTCCTAAAAATATGGGTTTACCATATTTTTTGGGCCCGACTTGGTAAGGGAATAATTTTTGCGTTTTCAGATTATCAGGGACCATTCTGCTTCCATATTTTTAATCTATTCCCTGGGTCAAAAGTAGGTTTACTGTTGTGAGTAAGCAAAACACAGAGTCCAGTCTTATATTATTATTAATTATTATATTTCTTCTATACTAATAACTGTATACCTACTTTTGCACCACCCTGTAATAATATAATAACTTTGTTTAGAGAAATATTCAGGGTTATATTATCACAGCTATGTAAAAGATAGTCATAGATAAGTCATTAAATTGACTATAATTATTTTTTCTTTCCCTGACAGCATTTTGTGTTTAGTTTTCTATACACTTACCATTAATTCAACCCCCTAAACTCTCCACAATTATCTAAGACTCATCTGAAAATAAAATTTGATAGCATCTTAATTTTGTTTCCTGGATACAATATCTTCTCTTACCTCTCTGATGGTAAGATAATTCTACTTGACATTTTCTTCTTCCTTCAGAACTCAGAGTTCCTGCAATCTGTCCTGGTGGGCTTCTATGCCTGATACCTGGCATTTGCCTCAGGGTGTTCCTCCCCCATATTTCCAGGAGCGTCTCCATTTCTCTTTTATTTCTATATCCGACATCTTTCTCTTTTCCTTGTTACTCTCCTCATTACAGTGAGACATCTCCCAACAGTTTCCCAAGAGAAACTGTGTGGTAGGAAGATGTGTGTGTCTGATTGTTTTCATATTACGTTCACAATTGATTGATAATTTGTCTAGCTATAGATCTCTAGGTTGGAAATAATTCCATTAGAACTTAGAAGGCACTCCTGTTCCAGCTTTAGATGTTACTTTTGTTCAGAGTCCCAATCCTTTGAAAATGACTCCCGCTCCTGGGTCATTTTTGTAGGCTTTTCTCTTTTGGCTTCCAAAGTTCTGAAATGTCATGAAAATGTGTCTAGGTGTGAGTTTATTTTCATTAACATTCCTAGGTACTTTTGAACCCTTTAATCTGGAAAGTCAAGTCCTTTAATTCCAGTAAAAAAAAGTAAAATACTCTCTTTAATGAATCCAAAAAATCTTTCCCTTCTTATTTTTTAGGAATTCCTTTTATTTAATCTTTAGCCTGATTTTATTTCCTCTTTGGCTGGCTCTTCTTTTGGTGTCCATATACTTCTTTTTAATTGTTTAAAAATAGCATCCTATTCCTGGCTGGTGTGGCTCAGCTGGTTGGGTGTTGTCCTATGTACTAAAGGATTGCTGGTTCAATTCCCAGTCAAGCACTTGCCAAAGTTTTGGTTTAATCTCCAGTTGGGGGCGTTCAGGAGGCAGTCGATTGATGTTTCACTCTCACAAAGATGTTTTTCTCTCTCTCCCTCTCCCTTCCTCTCCCTCTCTCAAAATCAATTTTTAAAAATATTTTTAAAATAGTATCCTAATTTTGTTTCATGGATCAATATCTTCTCTTGCCTCTCTGAGGATAATAATGATAATCCTAATTGACATTTTCTTCTCCCTTCATTTGTTACTTTACTCAATTCACTTAGTTTTTTTTTAATATATTTTATTATTATATGTAAAATATATGTATAGCTATAGATCTCTAGGCTGGAAATAATTCCATTAGAACTTAGAAGGCACTAAGGGAGGAAGGGAGAGAGATAGAGAGCTAAAAACATCGATGACAAAGAAACATCGACCAGCTGCCTCTTGCACACCCCCTTACCGGGGATGTGCCCGCAACCAATGTACATGCCCTTGGCCGGAATCGAACCTGGGACCTTTCAGAGCGCAAACCGACGCTCTACCACTGAGCCAAACCGGTTCGGCCATTCACTTAGTTTTAATTGTGGTAAAGAACACAAAACATAAATATATTCTTTTAATAATTTTTAAGTGTACAGAGCAGTATTGTTAATTATCTGCACATTTTTGCACGATAGATATCTAGAACTTTCCATCTTGTATGACTGAAACTCTGTATCCAACGAACAAATCCTCATCCTACTTTTCACTCAGCATAATGTGTTCAAGGCTCACCCAAGTTGTACCAGGTGACAGTATTCTTTTGTGTATAAGGTTGAATAAATATCCCATTGTATGTATACTATTAAACCACATTTCTGTATCAACTCATCTGTGGAGCAGAGGCTGTAAAGGCACTAGAGGCTTTCCCTGGCGGAGTGGTAATCTTTGTTTTTCCGCTCCTGTTTAAGCAGGGCTCAAAAAGCTTCCATTAGAGAGTCTGGGGGCTTCTCTGTAAAGGAATCTGGTCAACTGTTTCCATGGGGAAACCACCAAATGTTAGTATCTTTGGGACTTTGCTCTTTGGCTATTCAGATTCCCCAGGGAAGCATCTTTTGGCTGAGCCGGTGGGGAAGGGGCATGGAGGAGGAGCCGCAGCACTGGTCAATAATTCTTCATCCACCCCCTGCACTCCCACCTCAGGTTTTGCACTGGGGTCCCCCTAACTCGAGGTCCCACTGTTATATCCTCTTTGGAGGGTGAGCCTCCAGTCTTATGGTGTGGAGGAATGAGACAAAGAATCTAGAGGTCAAAGTGCTTCTTAGATTCTCTGTTTATCTGTTTATGGCCCCACCTTTATCCCTTCTTCCAAATCAGCCAATTCCCGAGCTACTTGGGGGCAAGAGTCTGTGATATAAATCTGTTTGCCTCTCAGCTTTCCCCATTGCCAGCTTATGTTGTTTTTCTTGGTTTTGCTAAGTTATTTGACACTTGTCCATTCTTTTGTTTTTGAGAATTTATGCCTTAAAAAATATCCCGGCCTTTGCCGGTTTGGCTCAGTGGATAGAGTGTGGCCTGAGTTTCAAAGGGTCCCGGGTTTGATTCATACCTCGTTTTGCAGGCTTCTCCCCAGCCCGGGGCCCTGGTAGGGCATTTGCAGGAGGCAATTAATCGATGTGGCTCTCTCACATCGATATTTCTGTCTCTCTCTCTCTCTCTCTCTCTCTCTCTCTCTCTCTCTCTCTCAATCAATATCCTTGGGTGAGGATTAAAACATAAATAAATAAAAATTAAAAATATCTCTTTATTGTTGTTTTAATGTGGTTGGTTACAGAACACAATAAAGTTAGTGTGTTTACCATCTTTACCTAAAAATCATGGAAATTATCTCTCTTGAATGTCTTAAATAAGAGCTTAGAGAATTCAGAGGTAAGCCAGCCTTTGGTTTGTAGTCCCTTTGCCTGTCTGTGCCTAGGCCTGACTGACCATGTAGAACTTTCTCTTGTTCTGCACCTGTGTGGTCACTCATCAACCCTGACCTTGCTTCTTGGGCTGTGATAATCTTAGAGGCAGGTGCCATGTTTCCTTCCCTCAGGAAAGCTCTAGAATGACTTTCTGTCTTCATCACACATTTCAGGCTGTGCCATGGACTTAGAATGATCTGTGATTGCTTTAATTTGTTCAAATTCAAACTCAAATACAACTGGAAACCCATGTTCCAAGATGGTAAAAGCCAAGCCCCCAAAGACACAGGTGGCTGGCCTCTCAAGAGCCTGGCAAAGGAGGTCTAGCAGAAATAGCAGTGGAGACGGCATTGCGTCTCCCAGGTGGCCCTGTCCTGTAGATTATTAATAGTGTGTTTCCTGTTGCCATTATAAATCCTCTATTCTGCAAAGGCACTAAATTCACTTAATTATCTTAAAAATTAAAGAATATAGGCATTTTTTCATTATGAAATGTTAATGGAAAGGAAATAAGAACATTAAGTTGAAAAATGTAAGATGACCTCTGGTTCACTAGACCCACTCTTACTGACCTTGTCTTTTTCTCCCTAATAGGTTGATTGATCCACAGTTAAATCATACCAGTCCATAGATCACCCTGAGCCCTGT